TGGCAACGTGCTAAGTGCTGTAGCGATTGTTTATAGAGGGGATGGGAACAGGAAAGAATGCAGATGCATAAAGCAATCAGAAAAGGTTCTGCAGGAAAGCTTATGCTAATGCTGAAGAGCAGATTGCCTTGTCTAAGGAGGGTGGGCTGACCTTCCATGGAGAAAGGACGTGTAATACCAGGGAGGCAAGGGACAGCATGAGCATATTTAAGGAATTCCAAGCAGTTGTCCTGAACCATCCACTCCTTTAAAAACCTCTCATTCCAGCCAGACTGGTCAGTTTACTTGGACCCACATTAAGCTGCCTTTGGTCACCTCCATGTCTTTGTTTATACTGTCCCCCTTTATCAGAGTGCCCATCCCGCTCAACAGCATCCAAGTTCCTGTTCCTTGTAACTCAGAATGATCACCAAGGCCTCATGGATCTTCCGGAAACGTTTTTCTTCTTCTCTAAATGGGAGAAAATCTCCCTTCATTCTTACCCCTTAGGAATTCTCATAGCACTATATTTGTGTCTCCCTAATGGCATTTTAATGAAGATTCATAGTTACTCCTGGAAAGATCCTTGCAGTAGGGACCATGTTTCTCTTAGGACCCATCTTGGTATTGCCATCGGTACCCAGCAAAAAGCCTTGCCCTTACCAGGTCTTCAGGGAGTGTCATCTCAGGACTGGCAGCAACAGCGTGTCTGGGAACCTGCAGGAAATGCTGATTCTCTGGCTTACTAATCTAGAAACTCTGGAGCTGGGGCCAGCAATCTGTGCTTTAAGGAGGCTTCAGATGATGATGAAGCAGCTGTTTGAGAACTGCTGAGTTCAATTAAATTCTCTTTTTTTATTTTTTCCTGAGTAGAAACTTGTAACTGCTGTTTCATTACAAGCATTTATCTTAATTATATCTAAAAGCATGGCTTTAAACTCAGCTTATTATTTGAAACCTTCTCAGCTGGGCATGGTGGCACATGACTGTACTCCCAGCACTCTGGAGGCTGAGGCAGGAGGATTGCAGCTCAAGGCCAGCCTGAACTGCATAGTGAAACCCTGTCTCAAAAACACCGGAGAGAGACAGAGAGAGAGAGAGAGAGAGAGGAAGAAGAAAACTCATTTTCATGTTCCTCTTTTTTTCTCAACATATCATCTACATAAGAAATCTTTTGTCCGAAAATAAATGTAGGCAACAGAGATACAACATCATTGTATCTTGGGAGATTCCAATGTTCCTGTTTTAGTAGTATCCAAGAATTAAACATCAAATGAGTAAGGTCTGTATTTACTGATGGTTGAATTTTCTACTCTCTTTTTTCCCTTTCTCCTATGGGTTTCTTCTCTCTTTCCCTTTACCACTTTTTATTTTCATATTTAAAGATGTCCTTGGTTACATTTTTCCTCAGATTGTACACTTTGGATAAAAGATGCTATAAAAGTTCCAATTAATGAGCCACATCCAAACAAACATTCACATAAAATTACCCAAGATTACCCAACAGGTTCAAGTGGTTTAACCCAGAAAATTTAGGGCAAGTGGGGGAATGTTCAGTTTTGCTCACATTCCAAGCACAGCCCTTCAGAGACAAGATTTCAATCCATGTGGAGATGTCTTTCCTTGGAATTCATTTCAGACAATTGCAGGCATATTTGCTGCTTGGTAAATTTCTGTGTTTACTGCAGGTATCAGCCTCCTATGGTGTGGAAAACTGCTCTGAATTTCTGCCAAGAATTTTTGAGCTTCCATGTCTCCTTGGCCCTAAGTGATGATCAGACAAGCTCTGGGCTGGGCAAAAGTGTCACAAATGCACAACAAAACTGCCCCAAACCAGCAATCACCCTTAATAGGTGCCTGCACTTCGCTTAATGTCTGAAAATTTTCCACCAATCCTAACACTCCTGTCCACTTGCGAGTGAGACATTTGTGTGTGTGTTCACATATATATATATATGCATATGTGTGTATAACATACATATATACATATACACACATATGCAAAGATAGATAGATAATCAGGCTTAGAGAGAAGAATTTTACTACTAAAAGACAGTACTATTGAGGGCTTTTTGAGCCACTGTAATGAATAAACAGATACAAAATGCAGTCCTTATAAAAATATGATAATATCTGTATATAATACCTTGTGCTTTTAATATATTTTAAAGAGAGAATGGAACTACACATACAACTAAAGCATACACACTATACTTTTCTTTGTAAATATAACATTGGATTAGATATTTTCTCATGCAGTGGAAATAATATATATTACAATTGTATTTTATTATATATAAAGACCAGGTAAGTCCCACCTCCATAGTGTTTTTATGAAGAAAGGAATTTAGAAAATAGATCTTCCAAATCTTAAAAAAAAATAGAAATAGAAATATCTTTCTTCCCTATAAACACCTCCCTAGTTCTGATGACTCTGTTCCAGGAAAACATTGAATTGCAAGCAAACTTGAGTTTCAGTAAATGTAGTCAACATTCAAAAGGAGGATAAAAGATAAAAATTTTTACCTTTCAAAAAAAGCTGTATATCTGCCGTATCCAATTATGCTAAGTTTATTGATCACTGAGTGATTAAAATAAAAGTCAGACACATGATGAAAAAGTGAAGTATGGTTTATTTTTGTTCCAAATATATCACAATTCATCTATGAGAGATCCTCCTGAGAAAAAAGGCTCATGTATATTATCGGACATTCTTTTCAGTGTCTTAATTCTTTGGGGACAAGGTAACTATAAAAGAAAGATGTCCTAATTTTAGCTCTCAAAATGTTAATTCCCAGATTATTTTCCACTGTGGAAAGGATGAGAATAGTCCTGTTTTTCTCCATGGTAACAGAATTTGAGTTTTGAGAGAGAATTTTAATCTGAGGAGACTGGTGATTGGCCTGTGTTTTTACTTGTTTGATATGCACAGTGAGGGCACCCATTTGCTCCTGATACGGGCTTACACAGCAAGCCCTTCCTAGATAAATAGCACAATGCATCTTTCCAAGGACCACTGTCAAGTCTGGTGGATGATACTCATTTACAATTAAATGTGACATGTGAAATCCTTTAGGGACAGAGAGGAAAATACCAGGCATTTCGATGACACTAACTGCAACATTGCAATGGCAAGCAGAAACATTGAAATGATACCCAGGATTTGGAGGCAGCTTTATTAAATGTTGGTCAGGCACTGACTAGGAATCAATTATTCCTCAAAATTTCAGGCACCGAAGGCTCAAGGAGGGAAGTTTTTATGGGATTGTAAGCAAGAAGCAGAGTCCTTGGCTGTCTTTGTTTCATTCTTACAATATGCATCATAGCGATCAGCTATGCATCACAGTGACCAGCAGTTTCTGGCAGACAGTAGTAACAGGAACTGTGACAGGAACTATTACAAGGGCAACTAACAAACTGGCTGGAGGGCATTTTCTGTTACATTACAATGTAAGAGGACCAGAAAGTCAGGACATGTTTTTGCTCTTGACAGTTACCTTAAACATCTAATTTCAGTAATCAAGCCCTCTGTAGAAAAAATTAGTTCTACTGAGGTGAGGCATTTCCTTCACTCTATCCATTTCTTCATCTAACTACTAATTCTGTGTGCTTTGCTAAGGTTCTGTCTCATTTAAGATTAGTTTGTAAAAAGAGAGCATCTCTTACCCCAGCCTTGGAAGGTTCCTTCCAAGGTACAGTCACCAGTACCCACCAGCCATTTTGTCTCAGTGAGGTCATGTACTAGGACTTCCCCAAGATGGCAGTTTCTGGGTTATTTCCTTATATAATAGGTCTTCTCCAGCCACTGAGACCCAAACTGGCCAGTTCTACTCCCACAAGATCTTTCTACCCTGCCTCTTTCATACCACACTATTTTTTTTTAACTCAACCCATTAAACCAGATTTGGTTTCCTGGTCTATTTCTTCCTTCACTTGTTATCATGCTAAAAATCCCAAACTAAAACTAATATATTCAACACTTATCATCTGTCTCTGAATGCCTTTCTGTACAAATTCTACAAAAAAATGTTAGAGAAAGATTGAATGGAGAATAGCTGTAATTTCTTTTGGAGTCATGAAGGAAGTAAATGGAACCAAGGTAATGGTCCTATGTCAAGGAAAATGGTTAATGGTAACTGTATTAGCTGAATGCTTTCTCTTAGTTAATAATATTAACTGAATGCTTCCTCCATGTTAGGCATTAAGCAATCCATCCAAGCTAAATTTTTTCATAGATTATTCATTTAATCCTCATCAAAGGTGAGTAGCTTTAATTATAAAACCCTAATTTGCAGACAAGAAAGCTGAAGCCTAGTGAGCTTCAGTCCCATGTTCAAAGTTACGGAATTAGTAAATAGCAGAGGCGAGCTTAGAAATCAAACCAGCTTTACTCCAAAACATGAAATCTTTCTAATAAAATACCTACATCTCCCAATTGAAAAACTACCTCTAAGCAGTCTCAGTTTGGTTCGAAGCAGTGACTCTCAACCTTGAGCTGTTTTGCCCTTTCTCCAGGGCATTTGGCCATAGATGGGAACACTTCTGGTTGTCCCAATTGATAGAGACGTACTCCTGGCGTCCTAGTGAGTAGAAGGAGACGGCTAAACATCCAGCAAAGTCTAGGACAGCTTCCCACAACAAAGAAGTATTGGGCCCAAAAGGTCAAGAGTAACTGGGCATAGTGGCTTATGCCTGTAATCCTAACCCTCTGGGAGGCTGAGGCAGAAGGATCACAAGTTTGAGTCAAGCGTGGGCAATTAAGCAAGATCCTGTCTGACAAAAAATGAAAAATTTTTAAAAATAATGATAATAATAATAATAATGACAACAATAATAATAAGACTAGGTATGTAGCTCAGCATGAAAGTCCTGGGTTCAATCTCCAGGATGAAAAAATGTCAACAGTATTGAGGCTGCGAAATATCGGTTCAGCGAAACATGGTGGATTTTTAAAGCCACTTTTTAAAAAGTATCTTGTTTTATCTGTTACTCACTTCTGTGTACATTCTGTCTCCTCGCAGATGACAGCAGCCTTCTGAATCTAACTCCCTATCCACTGGTTAGAAGACGGAAGAGAAGGTTCTTTGGGCTGTGTTGTCTCGTCTCAAGCTAGGCGGCTCTCCGGGAAACTCACCGCTGGGAACACCTGAAAAAAAAAAATCACAAAACTCGAGGACCTCCAGACAGCTAAACCATACAGTGATTGGTTTTTCTATGCTTCCTTCTTACTTTTACCCACCTCTCCCTGCCCTTTTCAATGATTTTACACTTGAAAGCACCTGCCATCAAGGAAAAAAAAAAAAAGGAACAGATTTAAAAAGCAGGCTGTTTTTTTAAAGGATTTTTAAAGTTGACATTGTGCATGTCTGCTCCAAACCATGCCATGACAGATGCAAGACTTATGATTTTTAAATTATTTAAAGATTTTTTAAGTGTATTATAGAGAGCATTATTTCACATATAAAAATGTATCTGTAGCGCTTGGTGATCTTATGTTAACACCTTATCATGTATGGAAGAAGTCTTTAAACATAGAAATCTAATTAAAACTATAAAACTGTTTTAAAAAACCAATCTATCAATATCATTAGAAATAATATAAGTAAACATGTACCACCTCACCCATTGCTTTCTTTGCACTCATTTACTTTTAGTCTTCCCTTCTGTCAGAATCTAAACCTTCACCATAAAAATATCTTCCTAATTTATAATGCAACAAAAGTCACATATGAAAAAAATACGTTTTGTAAATACATAATAATCCTAATACCTTCATATAAATGCTTATGGGCAACTAATTTCCCTTTGATCCAATGGTGTCTTTTTCAGCTTCTCGGAGAATGAAGTTATCCAGTTAGGAAATGGTGTAGTAACATATACAATTACCCTCAAATGTAAAATTGAATATTATCACATTTTGTTCTAATTGAACTCTGAAGCATGGTGTCTGCACATCAGCATAGTGTTAACTTATAGGGCATGCTGGAATTAGCTCAGATCGTAAAAATATTAACATTTTACATTATTAATAAAAATGTTTTTAGTTAAGCTAAGCTTGTCTCATTTTAGATGACTATGCAGATATGACTTTTCCAATGTGTACTTGGTGTCTTGTCTTCCGCTTAGAGTACTGACAGCAGGACACGTTAAGCAATACTATATTTTAGAAAGGAGGAAGTCACGTGCTTTGTTTTTCTGCTCACAGCTTTGTTGCAGTCTTCCTCCACTAAACTTGTAACATGGCTCAAATTTTGTTCTATTTCCCCCTTTTAACCTTTGACCCATTTCCCAAACAGAATTTCCCATGACTGGAAAGATCAAGTCTTTCCACTTCTTTTCTTGTTTCTATAGTTTGAAAAATCAAGCTGGACAGGAGGCACCAGCACAATAGAAGTATGAGCTAGAAGCCTACATGCGGTTTATATAAGACTCATTTTCAACCCCAACCCTGCACAGGCATTTACATGTACACTAATATCTTGACCTAAAAACTAAATGTATTAATGCTTTTAGCTTAAATGAAGAAGGAGAAAGTGAAAAATTATTATATTAGGTTGAATTATATGAAATTGCTGATATTTGACTGTTTTGCTCTATTAAAACGGCAGTTTCAGATAATTCCCCCTAGTATCTGAAGTGAAAGTAAAATAATTAAAAGATTAGAAGACATCTCAAAAGGCTATGCAGGTCCCTGCTTTAATTATACCAGCTGTCACTTGGCCTTGTTCTTGACTTACATGCTTGGGTTGCAGCAAACTGGTATTTAAGGCATAGTGCCAAGGTTGCCCGGCTTCACAAAAGGAAGTACCCTGAACAAGCTACATGAGAAAAATCATAATTTTCTAAATCAAAAACTTGTGAAACTATTGTGATAGTATGTTATTACAAGTAACCATTCCTGGATTCACCTAGTCTGCTGACCTTGATTTTCATAAATCAACCTTAATTAAGCTTAATATTCTTTTCTGAATCAGGCTCATTTTCAATGTTATTTCACTTAAGGGTCATTGTTGTCCAGATTATGAAGTAGGCCAAATTGGCATGCACTCCTCTCCTGCCTCGGCCCTCTCCTACCCTTTGACTATATTGAACCCTTAGCCTCAGTCTTGTTCCTATTAATCCATGCAAAATTATTCATTGAACAGCCCAACCTTGATATTCAGCACGTTCTTCTAAATGCCTGACCTACATCATTTCTGCTTGGTTAATTTGAGCTCACTCTCGCCTTAGTCTCAGTGTGAAAGTAACACTTATCTTATGTGCAATTGTCCTTTGTACGACTAAAGACTGTTAATAAATTCAGATCTCACCTCCATGTCTGGGAAGGCTGTAGTAGCTATTCATGGAGATGGGAATTTGTCTAATTACCTAGCCAGACTTTCCATGTCTAAGATAATATATTCAGCCACCTTATATTTTATTCATAGTGCCTGTTTTCCAGCCTTCGATCAATTTTATAGTTCCCATAGACGTACTCCAAGATTTATAGATGTTCTTTCAGTAGCAGATCCTAAAATTACATTTAGTACTCAAAGTTCTGATAATCTCCATTGGCACATGGTTGCAATAGGTGATTCGCCATCCCCATTTGATATGCCAGTGCATCCTTTAGGAGCTGCCCCTCTCTCCTCCCACCTTCCAAGGGCATTCTCAGGTATAGTTCCATGAGATAAAATTCTGCTGTCTTAGCTTCCTTCTAGTAATTTACCTTGAGATTGGCAATTAACTGAGCTGATCTCTAAAGGTAAGGAGAAAACAGTGAACCTGTTTTCTCGTGTGTACCCATGTGCTTGAAATGGCAAATGATGTAAACAGGGCACACACTCATTTTGTCTCCAGTCTTTCATAACCCATATTGATTGTTATTTTTCCAAATTACAAGGACAATAAATGTTCTTTGTGGTAAATCTGAAAAATACTACCATATAACAAAAGTTAAAATCACCTGAATCCCACCACAATCTTATTGTTTAAAACTACATTTTTGGGCTTTAAATCAGTAAGGGACTAGGTCCAAAGGCACTTTTAGATAAGACAGATAAAATGTTCACATTGCCAATGTGTCATTTTAAATATCTGCTGATGTTTTGTATGCATCTGAGTGTAAGCTCACTACAAACTTCTGGTCGTGCTTTTATTCGGGGGTACAAAGAAAGTTATGAAATAGCACAGTCCCAAATGCCTCCTCTAATTAATTAAAGCTCTGGGGGAAAGTCTAAAATCCTGTTGGCCAGTAAGTTCTTCCGCGCTCCTCTGAAAATAGTTTGGCAATAGTGCCATCTACCGAATGCTAAGCTTCAGAGTAAGAGGAAACAATACACAGGAGTGGACAACCTCGTAATTTATTTAAAAAAGCGAGCAAATGGGCTGGATTAACAATGATCCAGTCTAAAGATTCAGACTCTGAAAGCCTCAACACTGATAGGATTAAGGATATCACTCAGCCTAACTTCCTGCCCCTCCCGTCTGTGCCTAAGCAGTGTGTATTGTTTCTCCGTATTCCAGAATGTCACTCAGCAGAAAATGTTCAACTTTCAAGTAACAGTAGATCAAATGAGAAAAAGCAGTTGTACTATTCACCTCAGAATAAATCATTAGAATTAAATATGCAGTCCACTATTTATCTAACAACGTAAAAGAATTGAGTATTTTACAAGATGACAATTCAAATCTGAGAAAAGGTTAGATTATTAAGTTAGATTAAGTTAGATTATTATGGGAGAAATATTAGCTCTATATTCATAACTTTCATCAAAATGAATTTTAGATGAAATAAAAGTTTAAGTGCTAGAGCACATAAATAAACATACAAAAGAACTAGCAGGCAATATGAGTCAATTCATAGTTTTAGGGTGGGGGAAAAAGCCTTTCAATCATAACACTCAAGGAGAGAACTAAAAAGATGGATGGATTGGACTAATTAGAAAGGTAAAACTTCTACAGAGTAAAAAATAAACCAAATTAAGAGGAAGTACTATGTGTGGTAGATGGAGCAAAGAGTCTAAATCTCTAACATATATCAAAAACTTAAAAATCACCACTTTGAGAAAGTTTCCCTCATCTACAGTCTCTGTGCTTCTTCATCTTTTTTGTCTGTTCACCCCACTAAACAGGAAGCACAGACAGCAATAAGCATTATCTAGTTTGCTTATTGTTATTTCTCTAGATCTTAATACAGAGCTAGACACAAATATTGAAATCATATTCACTGAATGAGTGAAAATTGAATGAATAGCATAAATTATATTTTATGACTCAAAAAGAATCCAACTTTTTAGTAGAACATTGAAATTCTGGACATAAAATGATAGGGCACCACAACCTAATATAATTCACTTATAATAACTATGAAAGCATTTGAATGTATAAGTAATAAAAATACAGATGACTATAATAAACTCCTTTTTGAAACTCAAAAAGTCAGAGCCCATGAAGAATTAAAGTTCCCAGAGACAGCAAGACAGAATGGAATGAATGTTCCCTTACACTCAACAGGAGTGTAGGTTGATTCAGCCTCTCTGAAAAATATTTTGGCACTATAGTTTTCCTGCATGCCCAGTAATTCCACATTAAGGAGATTCTCTCCTTTTAGAAGTTCCAGGGAAAAAATGAGCTAAGATGCCTTTATTCATTACTCACAAAATTATGTAAGAAGGTATGTTTATAGCAGCATTATTTGAGAAATAGAAAAAATAAATAATCCTACATTATATGCTTAGTTAAATGTGATACATCCTTTCAATGGGATACTGAGGACCAATTAAAAATAAACGTCATGTGTATTCAATGAAATGTATAAGCTATTGTGAAATGAAAGGGAAGTTACAGAATAATATTAGTGTATGGTCCCTTTTTAAAGACATATGTATATACATGTGTACATTAAAGGGTCTGAAAAGATAATTGCCAAATGTATAACAGCATTTATCTATGGGAGGTGAGATTTGGAGCAATTACTTTTTCTTTTTGCATATCTGTAATTTCTAGTTTTTTCCACAACGAGCATGTAATATCTGTATAATTTTTTCAGGGAATAAACAATGATGTTCACAATATACATTAAATGAAAAAATATTATAAAATAGTATATATATAGTATGATACAATATTTGTAAAAAAGAAAATTATATATAATTATACCTATATATGTATATATATATGCATAAGAAAGCTAGAAGGACATACACTACAATGTTAATAGCAGCTATCTATGGGTAGTGGGATTATGGGTGATTATTTTTTCTTTTTTCTTTGCTGTGTTTTCTAATTTTTCTACAATCAACATGTATTACTTGTGTAATAAAAACTAATAATAAAAGTTTTAAAAATATATCAATGTCAGAGATAGTTTGACTCACCACTTGTCCTCTTGATCCCCCACCACACCCCACCACTGCTTGGCTTATTCCTTGCTCAAATGTGTGACGTCGGATACAGAGGGGAAATACTAGGGCAACACAACTTTTGGAGACAGAAGAGAAAGAGATGGTTGTGGGAAGAAGGTAGGGAGCAAATGGGGAGAGCAGGGGAATGAGGAAGGATAGAAGGATGAAGAAAATTCAAAAAAGAAAGAAAGAAACTGGTAAGTTTCTTTTAGAGGAAGGAATAAAACAGGCTTTGGAAACATTTTCACTGGTAATAGTGATGTTTCTCAATTTAGTTCATCTGAAAATCACAGCAATAAAAATAAATGCATCAAATTAAGTAATTATATTTTCTAATAAAAGGTACACACACACACACACACACATCTGGAGATGTCTAAGCATTAAACTCTGACAGGAACGTATCCTAAGAAGCTTTCGAAAAGCGAACTGTCAGAGCAGCTAGCTCTCAAGGGCTGTGCTGTGCTCTACAGCCAGGAGTTACACAAACCTCTGTCAGAATCTCAGATGTGCTGCAGAACGTACATGACTATGGCCAGCTGTTTGAACATTTATTCTCTCCTTTTTTCTTTAGTGATGGAGACCCCAGATTTCAGGGAAACACTGGCCACCTAAAGTAAAGACTCCATTTCCCAGGGTCCCTTCATTGTAGATGTGAAGTCTGACTAATAGTGTGAGTGGAGGGGTGCGATTTCCCAGTGATATCCTTGCAATAAGGTGTACGCATTTCACTCCCTCCTCTTCATCCCTCTGGGCTGCAAGGAGAACAAGGCTGTGGGAGTTCAAGGAATTATTTACCAGAAATGGAACTACAGAAGGACAACTTATCTTTAGGAGGAATTGACCCACTATGCTCTGTACTTACACTTATGAAAATCAATCAACCAGTCAGTCAAATAACTTCTACCTCCTTTATGGACTTAATAAGATGAATCTGGGTACAAAATAAGATGAATCTGGGTACAAAAGAATCTGGGTACAAAAGAATCTGGGTACAATCTAAGCTTCAGGTTCCTCAGAATAAAAGGATGTAGTATCAACGTCACAAGAGGCTCAGCCAAATGACTAATTACTTAAAATGAAAGTTCTTTTATTAGAAAAAAAATCAAACAATTGAAACATCACATGATACTCTGTTGGAGAAAACAGGGGAAAAGAAAAACTTTTAATCTATTTTTAAATCAAACAGTGAATTGATTTCAATATGAAAAAAAAGAAAAACACTAAGCCTGATTGACTCTTGCCAGATATCATACCCAAAAATCAATTCTAAGTTGGTTACTGATATAAAAGTAAAAAAAAGCAACCAAACTTCCAGAAGATAATATAAAACTGTTTTCACATACACAGAGTTGTGAAATAGTTCCTAGTAGGGCACAACCACTTTGGAAAACTGTTTAACATTACCTCCTATCATAGAACACTTATATATCCTGTGACCCAATAATTTCATTCCAAGGTAGCTATCTAAAAGAAACGTGTGTATATTCAGATAGGTTAAAAAAAAAGTACATGGTAACATTATTTGTAATAATAACTATAAATAACTCAAAGATCCATTAATAGAAAAATGGGTAAGTATATTGTGATATATTCATACAATTGGATGCTATATAGAAGTAAAATGAAATTAATTCCTTGTATGTACAACCACATGTCAAGATATAATCATTATAATTTGAGTGGACAAAAGCTAAGTATAAAAGAACATGCACTGCTAATAGCAACTGATATGCATAGCTGCTGACAGATGGATGCCATGGTCCATGAAACAAATCAAAGAGGCCCCAGAGTGTCTCCTGGAGCTCATCCCTTGTACTTCCCAGACGCACTTACTTCTTGTACTAAGTTCACTCTATCCAGATATAGTTTCTTCTAAATTCTAGTCATGATTCTTGGAGACACTTACAAAAAGAGATAAACCATAGCCTTAAATTATACATTTTGTTTCAAGACTATCTAGCTGATACTCAGGTCTCCCTTCTCTATCAACCCATTCTAGATTTCCTTCATCATAGGCCATCACTTCTGAGTTGCCAGGTATGATAGCTAGGCCCTCACCATAGAGTGGTCTGAGGTCCTATTTACCATGCCCTTAGGATTGTGGTTGCTGTAATTTCATACTTACTGTTAAACCTAGGCCTGAGCATACCAAGAGATGACTCATGCCAAACGTACACCTCCATGACCTCAATATATTTCAGTAGCCCTCCATGATAATCAGGACCAATTGCCTCTGTCAGGATAGGGATTCTCTGTTTCCCTACATGTTTGCTGGCATGAGGAATCTAAAGAGGCCAGCAGTGGCTAAGGATTGAACTTCAATTGGACTCTCATTTTCTGCTCTGTAAAACCCAAGATTTACAGATTCTACAGTTTTACAAATAAGAAATCGATTTTTCAGGATCAAAGACCTCTACTATTTCTATCCCTTGATTTTTGGATCCATAGATTGTTTATATTAGTGCCACATACATGTAGAGAGAGAGCATTGACTTGAAGAGCATACGTCATCCAGAGGGGTGACATCTAACAGTGCAAAAGGCCTTGTCCCTATCCATCAAGACAAGTTTCTGCAGAGTGGAGTGTGGCAGAACAGTGGCTCACCGTTCTCACTGATGCTCCTCTTTTCCTGCATAGTGAGGCCTTTGGTCTGAGACAATTCCATGTGGGTTCCCATGTCAGTAGATCAGACATTCTGTGACAGTGGTGCTGGCCAATGTCTTCCAAACAGAAAAGGCAAACCATATGTAGAAAACAGCTTCATCCCTGACAGGGTAGATGATGTTCAGTTGCTACGAAGTGGCAGGTTGTTCTTGTATTAAGAGCATGCTGTTGATCTGTTTGCCAACAGGGTAGACATTCAGAAGGCTGGGTGCTTCCTAGTGGAAGAGAAAAACCTACATTAGTTTCTTGTTGGTGTGGTAACAAATTACCATGTACTTAGTAGCTTAAAATATCACAAATTTTGTCAACTGACCATTTTCACTGGTCTAAAATCAAGGGATCAGTAAGGTCTGTGTTCCCTCCAGAAGTTCTAGAAGTGAATCTATTTTTTTTTCCTTACAGCTTCTAAAAGCCTCCTGCAATCCTTGGCTCATGGCAATCTTCCATCTTCAATCCATTTTCAAGCCAGCAGTGCAAGTAATGAAAGTGCACAATCTCTCTTTCCTTTCTCTCTCATTTTTCAATTATCACTTCCCCTTCCTTGATTCTGAGGCCTCTGCCTCCCTTTCCTTTGCTGTCAAATTGGACTATCCAGATAATCCAGGATAATTTTCATCTCATTATCCTTAACAATCATATTTGCGAAGTCCCTTTGCCATATGAAATAGCATATTTACAGTTCCAGAGATTAGGGTGTGTATTAGTCACTTTCCCATTGCTGGAGCAAAATACCAGACATCCACAAGGTAAAGCAGAAAAAGTTAACTTGGCTACAGTTTCCAGCAGGTTCAGTGCATGGTTGGTTGTTTCCAACCCAAAAAATATCATGACAGAAGGGCCTCATGGAGGAAATCTGCTCACCCAATGACAATGAGGTAATAGAGAAAATGAAGGAGCTGGGACAAGAGTACACTCTTCCAGGCAACACTCCCATTGACCACTTCTTGTAACTATGCCCCACCTCCTCACAGTGCATTCAGCTATGAATTATCAATGGCTTAATCCACTCAGAAGTATAATAATAATTTTTATAGTGCCCCATGAGTCAATCACCACCTCTAAAACACATGAGATGTTCGGTGGGAATAATTTTAGATCTAAACCATAGCAGAATCCAAACACCTTTGGGGCCATCAGTATTGCGCTGATCACAAACTAATGCTGTAGGATCCATTTATAACCTTCACCTCTACCAGGAACTGATTTTTGAGTGGTATATAATTCTCTACTACAGAAAGCATGGCCTTGCTTCAAAACCCTAAATGTGCTATTTCTCTTCTTGAGGTTTACTAGAGTCTCCATAACATCTCTTAACATCTCTAATACCAGAGCTTGTTGGATGATGTGACTAATGTGATACAGATGCTTATGCTGCAGCCTAAGCTTGCTGCAGACCCAGAGCTCCTACTTACTCCAGGATCCACTTAAAACTAGCACTCTTAACATTACCTGGTAAATGAACCAGAGCTTTATACCAAAGTGTGAAATATGCTCCCTCCAAAACCTGAAGAATCTGACCAAGTTTCAGATTTCTTTCATATTGATAGAAGGCTTAAGGGACATTGATTTATTTTTACTTTGGAAAGTATGTCTCAGCCACTGGGCCCCTAAAATCTTCACTGATGAGGCAGATCCCTTAATCTTTGCAAGGTTCATCTCTTCTCCTCTGGGAATCCAGTTAACCAAATCCAGTTAACATGATGCCATTGGGTCCATGGACAAATGTGATGTTCTCTAAGGAACACTCAGATCAATAGGCTCAGACTGTGCTGTCACAAGGCACAGTAAGGAATAATGTAGAGGTAGAAAAATCTGGTCCCAAAAGATCATCTGTGGACATGGAATTATATGCTATAACCCAGGTACTCAGTGATTTAAAAATGTATTGTACCATGAGAACATAGAGTGCTGTAGACACGTGAGATCTACTAGGGGTGGAGAAACCTTGTTCCACAAGGTCACCTGAGGGCATGGAGTTAACCTGTACCCCAGGTATATAGCTGCTAAGAAATACTATGTAGTAAGAACTTAGAATGCTGTTTTTACATTAGGTAAGAGCTTGTAACAATAAGGCATGATTTTTAAACATGTATAAGTTTGCTGGTCAATAAAATTCACTCTGATCTTTTAGGTGTTTCTTCCCTACCTGCTCCTAGAAAAACCTCGGCAGAGGACTCTTATTTGTTGGTGGAAAGATAAAAGCAGCAATTGTTATTGGAAACTCACAGCATCTCTATAATCCTGATCCTCTTCAAATTTCTTGTATCTTTTTGACAAT